TTTTGTACACATACAGATTGGTTCTATGCAGTCGATCCGTTTTGCAGTTCTTTAAACTGTTGTTTTCGCTTGCAAATCACTGTTCACAGGCTTGCAGTGCTTTTGACCGTCTTTTGGCGAAAAAAACGTGCCAAAAGTTTAAGCGCGGAAAAAAGGAAGTCAGAAGCATGCAGATTATATTTATTTTGCGTTAGCATGAAGCTGCAGTTTCGCAATACATGAATTACACTTACAAGTAACAGTAAAATGCTGCAAATAATTTTTTCTTGCGCTTGAAACGCGATTTATACCGTTAGAAAGCTTCTCTTGCGCATGCAAATTTCATTTACGCTTACAGTCTTGTGTACACTTCCACAAATATTACCCTGCGTATGCAAATCTTTTTGACGTCATTCTACCTTCATAGTTCGCTGCCAGGAAGGTCTCAAAATTCACACACAAATCCATGGCGATTCACATTCACAGCCCATGATAAACTCGTGACTTTTTAACATTCAAAAATTTTGTACACATTTGTACATCTGTGAATTGTGTTTTGCATTTGTGAAACGTATTTTATGAATATATATTCTAATTTTGTGCACGTGCATTGGTTTTTGTGAATGTTACCGCGTCCCAAACGACTCAACATAATAAACCACAAAGTTATTATTAACAAAACGATGCACTCCACTGTGCTGAGCGCTTCTCTGCTGCCTTCACGTGCGAGTTTTTTTTTTTCTTTTTTAGTTTTTAAAAGTCATAATGTTCTTTGATAATGTAGCCTAAGTTCTTTGTTCACGTTCTCTCTGTAATTTATTCGCTGTGAATAAAAGTGGAAATTAAAGCATAACTTACAATGTTTTATTAAATTGTGATCACGTTAAATACAAATTCAGTATTAAAATATTTTATGACATGACACCCATATCTGGTACTTACCTAAAAAGATGGGTTTGTGATGTGCGTAGTATTAGTCTAAACATTCGCCTTCTGGGGCCTCATTTATAAAATACTGCGTAGAAAGAATCCTAAATTTTATTTTACGATAATTTCTCAAAGTGCGTACGTGTGATTCATAGAACGAACGTACGCACAGAAAACGTGCGTACGCCTCTCTTTTAGATGTGAAATCTATAAATTGCAATGATCTTGAAATTGTGGGCAGCTGAACAGTTTCATATCTCCGCCCTGTAAACAATGTCTAATTAATGTTCTTGACTTATAAAAGAGCACCTGACAATGTCCAAATCTTTTACAAGCGACAAGAATGGCTTATATTTCCAAAAACCTGCAGCACTCGGGCAAACAAAAGTGCGTACGTCTGCTCAGACCCTGACGTGGCGCTAAGCTCTTTTCCACGTCAAAGACCGTTTTTATAAATATGAACGTTGCCGTGGATTTTTGCGTACGCACACTCTACAATCAAATCTGTGCGTACGCGCGTTGTATAAATGAGGCCCCTGGAGTTGGCTCACCCTTCGCCTGTGTCTGAGTGAGAGAGTAGGCTATTTCTCCGGGCGCAGACTCCGAGTCCCGACCAGGTTAACTGACCCACACGGTGACTATATTGAAGTGTGGTGCAAATGAACGAAAACATTTTTTTTGTGTGCCTTCATTATCTAAATTAAGTGCAGGACACACCACTGTATCCTTTATAGCTCTCTTGTGTAGAGTATTTATGGTCCAGATCAGCCCATTTTCACGCAACTCTTTTATGGTCTGTCTACCTTAAATCCTCAAGACAACAATCTTACCTCTTCCTCATCTGTCTGCGAACCTCCTCTTCAAACTCTGAATCACGAATCACGCAGAGACTCTTGAATCGTTAGATTCATTCAATCTCAACGACCCAATAATTGAAAGCAGAAGAGTCTGTACTTGGATGTAGAACTTCTCGAGTTTTCTAATCCCCGTTGAGCGCGCATCAGTTTGGAGAGAGAGAGAGAAACTTATTTTGTTTTCCAGTCAGTCAGTGCGTCTTGTCTTGTTACGTTAGGCGTGAGTCCATTTAGTGGCTAAAAACAAACTATATAGCTCATTTAGCGCTTAGGTACACTACAGCGCTCCCTGGAGGACACACGCGGTGCCTCCAGACTTCGGCAGTCCTCCGTGGTTTTATAATGAAAGACGCATTAAACAGCAAATGTAATAAAGTTTAGATTTTTTAATAATGCTTCTTGTTATAAATACATGATTATCTTCAACACTTCATAAATAAGTTTTAAAAAGCACCCTCTGTTTCAGATCATGTCTATAAATACTATGTATTACAATAACAGTCTTTCAAAATGTAATGACAAAAAATGTTACATCTCTTGTTTTTTCTGAGTGCAATCACAATTAAAGGTGTTGGATTGTGTTTTCTTGTGTTCTGGGTAGAGACAGCACATTTCACTGAGTCCTGATCTGCTTCCTTCTAAAATACAAACCTTAGCTATTAAAATCAGATCCAAGATCAGTTTAAAGAAGCAGTTTTTGCAACATAAGACAGAAAAGATCCAATGTGTGAGTGCAGTCCTTTTCGCCCATGTGGTGTCTTTAGTGTACATGAAATGGACTTTTATAATAATTTTAAATGACAAAGACAAACAAACAAACCCACAATGATCTGAATGTGTATCAGATTTGATATAAGGTCAGTATGAAGTATTATGAATGTATTCAGTGTGAAGAACTCAAAGTATTATGGTACAGAAAGACTTCATAAGGTCTGTTAGCAGTTGGTCAATAGGTTTTGTATGTCCATGTTGTGTCTGAATTAAACTTTAGCTGCACCAGAAATTGCCTACTTGTCACCAACAGCGTTGATCTGGAACCAGATCCCTCTTATTATCATATTAATCATGAAATATGTATAGAAAAAAGGGCAAAATTATAAGTCACTGCACATAAAGTCCTCTGGTCTGATCAATACCAGTGCATAGCATTAGATTGGATTTTTACAAGCTGTTCTAAATGTGTTGATGAATTTGAGTGTTAATTATTAAAGGGTAGATTCACACACTCTCTGAGTGTAATGTTTATCTACTCTAAGCTTTTTGTATGGTGTATTTGCCTTTCTGAAGTTGGGAGACGTATATTTTGGTTTTGGTGCCATCTGTGCGCTTGAACCAGACCTCGCCTGTGCTGATCCCTGTTATTACGGCCCTGAGAGAAACACACAAAACAGGGAAACCATTTCAATTGAAATGTTTTTGCAAACAAAGCCAAAGCGAAGACAGATGCGGTCTTATGTCTTATACTCTACTGACTGTGCTGGGCTGTCGTCATTGACTTCTAGAACGACACTGCTGCCTTTGGAGAATCTCTCTCCATCATAGAAGAGATCCCCACCTTCACATCGCACGGGCACCTGCCTGTCTGAGAGACAAACAGACACGCACAGCTCTTCAACATGTTATGCTTTAATAGCTCATAATTCTCTAACTCTCTGTTTTCAAGGCATTTTATGTCACTGTATAGGGCTCTCTAGCTCTGAAGTGAAATTGCTGTCATTAAATAGTTCACAGACGCGAAAAGATTGCTGTCACTGGGGCAATACGTTTTCAAAAGGTACACCTCTGTACTTTATTTACCTCTGAAGGATGCAAATTAGTACCTTAAAATGTACTGCTGAATGTACTGACAAGCATTTATGGAAAACTAAAATATACTTTATAATGTAATTAAAATGGCATTTTATTTCATTAATATATTATCAGCAAGTATATTATCAGCAAGTACAGAAAGAGGGAAATGGCTCTATAAACCAAACTTAATCAGAGGCCTGACAGATAGAGCTTGTGAGTGAGGGTCAGCGCTAATGGAAGCAACTGGGATGTCAATGGAGAACATGCTTAAGCCTTTGACACATTTAAGCTAGACAGACAGTAACACTATACATGTTGTGTGTGTTTGTCTAGGAGTCTGTGTGTATCCCTGAAGGCATGTTTACTAAAAAGTCTTATACCAGATAAAGACCCCCATTATTCAAAAACATGCATCAACACATACAAGATACTCAAAAACAAACATGAACCTTGAATTAAAAATGATTATACAGCATTATGCAATTACATTTTTGAAGTGAGAGAGAATCCTATATTGCACTATGAAATCTATTCCAAGCTTGTCGTGAGAAAGAAATCATTGGTTAAATATATTTAACCCGAGGCAAGGTCTCTGATGGTCAGCGCACGTGATTTCCTTCAATAAATATACAATGACTGACTGAGTTAATTCAGTCAGTTGTGTCAAAGTTTAATGAGGTTCACCTGACTACCATGAGAAAGACCGACAGGCAAGCTTAAACAAAGGACTTAAATGAACACAGGGCCATTTAATAACGGACTTACTGTCTGCTTTTTTCTTCAGGGGCATCAGTGCCACTTTTGCCTGAAAGACAGAAAGAAAAAAGTCACGATCCATCATACACGTTCACTGTGAATCACTCATCATGAATCACACCTTCTTGATGGCTGTCCAGTCCTCTAGTATGTCAATGTCTCTTAGCATATACACTATGTATGGCCCTGAAAAACAGAGACATGTTGAGCAAAGCAGGATGGGAAGGAAGACAACTTCTTCAAACAAAGTGTGGATAAGAGGTATAGCATTTTGGTTAAAGATCTAATCTGGTAACTGGGCGATTTGTTGAAGCGATGTGTTGTGTTTTGGATATTGGTGTCTCTACCATGCTACTTAACTAGCTTCACCAGCAAGATTCCCATTTTCAGCATCTTTTGAAAGATTAAAAAGACAAAACTGGCATAAACCGTTTTGGACTAGTATGGAAATTCCCGTGAGGTCGAGCCTCAAAATTTCTTTCCCAGAAATGGTCCAAAAAAAAAAAGATAATTTATACTGTTTCAGGAGAAAGTATGTTGTACGGCAATACAATGAATGTTAAGACAGATACATTATTTAATGAAACGAAATGAGCCATGTGTGATCATTCCTGTATCATCACACTGCCTGATGTGGACCGCAGTCTATTAATTGGTGGCCTCTGATGAACTTTCTAAATGTAATGTAAGATCTTTTGGATTAATCAAATAAACAACTAATTAGTATGTGTTGATTAGGGATGCACTGATACCACTTTTTCCAGAACGCATCTCATACCGATACTTTTACTTTTGGTACTTGCCGATAACGATATCTGTATTTTCATAGTATTTGTAATTTTTAAATATATTGGGTACAGAAAAATATACAAATCATGTTAGCTGGCTTCATTTAGCAAACAGATATTTCCTAGTTATTTTCACACATAATTATGCCCGTTCAAATGATTTTCATCATTTGAAACGTGCTGCGACTTATATTCCAAACCGACTCATTTAATGCAATTAACGTAAAGCAAGCAAAACATTCGCAATCGCAACGCACGCACACATTTGTATTGGTGCCTAGCGCATTTCTCACAGGCTGCCAGTTTCATTTTCACTTTAAATAAAGTTGTGCATGCTTGACGTTTAAAATAAAAATTGTTTATAGTTAATGCCCCTATAATTTTTGTCTGTTTTATATTTATGATTTAGTTTTAATACAAACGATCCATGAAACTTTTTGTTTTACTTGCTTTTGACATATCCGACCGAACTACAAACTATCCAGTGATCTCTGTGAGAAAGGGATATTCGCACAACAAGCTCGCGCATCTCCGCCGCCGCTCGCTCAATCCACTCAGCGTGCTTTGCTTATCAGCTTACACATCAGATATACTGGCGTGAATATTGAATGTTTAGCATTATATTAATTACTTGCATGTTCTGTACTTCCTAGATATCCTTAATCTATAATAACTCCATTCTGCTCTCTGCTGTTGGTGTTTCTTTGTCTGGACTAAGCTGACCAGATTTCTGAAATGAAAACCGGGGACATTTCCTAGCTCAGTGGTAAAAGTATCACTGAAATCTCACTTGTGATTATCTACGAATTTAAAAAGCGTGGACAATAGTACATAGTAACGGGGAAAAAATAGTAAATAGTAACTACTGCAAATAGCAAACAAATCACAACAGTATTATAACAAAATTATGTCTTTCCAAAATCACATTACAAATAAAACAATAAATATGAGAACATATGATAAATAAAACTGCATTTAACAAATATGTTTAATAAGTTCTAACTGTGTTTAACATTTTTACAAAGTATACAGTAATTACAACTTTTCAAATTTTATGTTTATGCTTTTGGAAATGGATCTTTTCTATCCCTAATCAAGCTTATTACTTTGCATTTTAGGCTCATTTTGACCACAAAGTATGTGCTTTCTGCAAATGTAATTGTGCAAGTGTAATTGATTCATGTATTATTTTTTATATTATTCATATTGGAGTTGTGACGGTGAAAGTTTCAGGAATGTTTAATATTGTGTGCAAAACAATGCTTTATTATACAGTGCACACAAACAGTATTATTTTGTTTTAACATGTATAGTTAGTATGTGACTACCTTGAAACCAATAACAGTGTCTCTTTTGATAATAGCAGAGATAGCGCTCTGCTCTTGTCCAAGTTCTTCATGACTAAAGTAGCAGCGTGGGACCAGTGACCAACTAATTTTCAGAAAAAGTTGCTAAAGGAAGGTCGATTTGTAGCTAAAAGACGTTGTGATGTCATTACGCAATGACATTGCGTAATCACGACGCAAAATTGTCACATCATCAAATCTCAGCAAAAAATATATTTTATATATGTTAATTTAGATTTGTTTATAAAATAATATGCATGATATAATATTAAAATATAAATAACTGTATTTTTAAATACATTGAATTATTGAAAACTTACACATTTTTGAATTATTACAATTTAAGTTTTTTTAGTAGCTTGTAAACTTGTAATTCTACACATTCTCAACAATTATGCTTTAAGCAGTGTATTAGTAGTTAGTTAGTATGCTACACTCTAAGAAAAGTCTGTAAATATAAGGCACAATCTACTATGTTAATATGAAAGAATTTTCCGTAATGGTTTTTTACCTGCATTTTAAATTACACATTGTGTTTTCGGGTTACAGGGTTACAATGGATGATGGATAATGGATAATGTCCTGAAAGATTTTCCATTTTTCTTACAGTGTACTAACTGATCAACAGTTGCAGGTACAAGCTACTAACAAAGTGTATCATAAATGAACAATTATTCAATTATTATTATTATTATTGAATTGAACAATTGCAAATAGCAGCTAACTCAATTCACGTGATGTGTGTACTGCAAGGCATCTGTGGTTTCCTCTTTTTGTGTAATTTGGATGGAAAATGTGTGCCTTTTTATTGTCTGAGTCACTTATCAAAAGTTGCCAAATAATTTCTTTTAATTGCTAAATTTGTTGCTAGGTACTTTTGGAATAAAAAGTTGCTAGGGTAGTCTGAAAAGTTGCTAAATTTAGCAACAAAATTGCTAAATTGGCAACACTGCGTGGGACCAAGTAATCAGTATAGCTCGCAGCGCCCTCTGCTGGTTCAAATAATCACAATCATTAAATTGCCAGCTGGCTATGTTGGTCGGGCTTTTACAGTGTATTTGCGGGTTGTCAGTGATAGACAAAGACAAAGAAACACCTACAACAGAACAACAGAGAGCAGAATGGAGTCAGGGACAGGACACCAAAAACTAGAAAACGGGCACGTCTGGTCACCCTAGTCTGGACACAGCACTGTTAACATTCTGTGTGGTATCGGAGCATTTTAATGAGTACCAGTACAAGAACAGGAGCGCAGTATCAGGCCCGATACCAGTATCAGTATCAGTGCATCCCTAGTGTTGGTGCTGGCAAGTGGTGACTAAATGAGAGAGGAAGAGACAGATCTCCATTTAAAGAGAATACATTATTACCTGACACAAGAGCTGTCTTCTTCTTCCTGTCTGGGCGAATCAGGTGACTCCTTCTCTTACACTTCTTCATCCTAACGTCATCATTCCACCACTCTGATTGATCAAGAGCAAGATTGTGTTTATGGATCTGGTGAGTATTTGTGTTTCTAACCTAGAAATGCCTGGTGAACAAATATGCTTAAAATGTCCCCACAAGTCTGTCAAAGCCCTTTAAAAAGTGTTAATAATATTAAGTGCATAATGTTTTTATGAAAAAATAAGTAATCTTATAAATGCATATAAATTGTATGAATAACAATACACAAAAATTTAAATAAATTGTTTTCTTTTGGGGATATGGTTTAGAGATTTGCATGAACTGAGTGCATGAGAGAGTGTGACCTGACTTTTCACTCAGTCTCTTTACTTTTCCTCTCTCAGTGAAAAGACCCAGATGACAGACTCTCACAGCATATCTGATACACAAATTTCTAAGGCCTCTAAATTATCAACATGATCAAAACTTTGCTAAAAACCTGTTGTACACAACAGTACACAAGTATCTATACAAGTATCTACTACATGCCTTTTGCTGTCTGATTGATAGTTATTTTTTTGGCAAGTTAAAGGCCTTTTATTATGATTCTAAACACATCTCCCTTCAAGTTCCAGTAGACTTGACACTTGTACACTTGCTGTGAAATCTTTACTGATTTTTATAAAATAAACAAGAATAACTGGACTGAAGCAACTTAAATAAACTTGATATAAACAGTTTTTAGAATAATCACATTAAATTGTACCAAATAAGATACACCAGGCTTTAGACAAATGTTTTTCTATATCTCTTAATCATCATTACATTGCATTGTGTTATATGTTTTGCCCCAAACAATAAGAACTGCAGAGCTTTGATCGTAAAACTAAGCATTTAAATGTCATTTTATTAAGACATTATTGGGAGATACAGAATAACAACTGATATTTATATACAATTTATGTTATTAGTCTGCTATACGGTTATAAAGAGCTCATTGATTTACAATACAAGCTGTCAGAATTTCATCTTACCTCTGGCTATATAAATATCAGCAACTGCATATTGTCATTAATTAATCCTTTTTCATAACTCAGTTACACTAATATCTTCATTTTTACACTATAATACTTGTATTTAAATTAATTCATTAATACTTGTTTCATAAGTCATTGTCAATACATTGTGTGAAATGATTGTTTGTTCCTTACTGTTACTGTGAAGCATCCTTGAGCTTGGGAAAGGCGCTATATGAATTAAACAAATTATTATTAATCCAGTTAATACCATCATTTTACTTTATTATTTTTTCATCAATGTAGTTGTTTCATTGCAGGATGATGTCTATTTTATGTTTGTTGTGCAGCACTTTGGTTAGCACTCGTTTAGCTTTTTAAGGTGCTATATAAGCAAACCTTGACATTACACACCTCAACGCAAAATCTAAATATTAAGTAAAAAACAAACGCAAAGAAAACAGACCCAAACCTGCTTTTAAACAGTTTGACGAGCACCATTGTTTTGGGTTAGGTAGCACACCTCTATTAAGGTTAGGGATTCAGATGGAGTAATAATATTTAGCTTTACATGAAACAGAAGACGTCTATGCAGACATCAAGTGTGCCTCACAAGTCTTGAAAAGTGAAGCCAACATTTTCGATCGCCCCCGCCCTCTCCATGTAATCTAATGGGACGTGAGACAAACTAAATAATAAAATTTCACTTCAAATAATTTTTTTTCCAAATATGGTTTTTGTAATTTTATGTAGTTTTTATCACGCTGATGTAAGTTCAAGTGTTCAATTTTTAAATAAGTTTGTTTTAGTTAGTCATGTGGTGCTATGGGGGTGTGACGTCATGATTGACAGCTTCTCTGAGCGAACTGAGGCACCAACAAACTTTTTTTGTAAATACAAACTGGAGTTGTATTTACCTTATTTTAACAGAAGCCTCTTGTACGGCAATCAGCAGACAAAAATTGGAGCAGTCAGGCTAATTAAAAAAGGGTCAGGGGTGTGTGCTTGCAATCGACTCTACGGGAGTGTGGGCGGGACGCAGCTCCACTTCGCTCACTACTGCGCAGACTGGTCCCAAATCAGCGCAATATATCCGCGCCCTATTGGGACATTGGCGGCTTCACTTTTCTTCAATGGAAGTGAGTGAAGGTGTGCCGTCCATCTTTTTTAGTCTATGGCAGACATATATCCCTACTCTGATAGCCAGGTAAACGTGTGTGTGTGTGTGTGTGTGTGTGTGTTTATGTACCTGAGGTGATATCTATGCTCTGTTTGTCCTCCTCCAGTCTGCGGATCTTCTCCAACAACTCTGTTTTCATGGCATCAAACAAGAGTGTCCTCTCACTCTAGAAAAACAAGCATCTCATTATCACACACACACACCGACTCGATATGATTCATGATCATCACTGCACTGTCAACAAACAAACAAACACTGTTTTGGAAGAGACATGCAAGTATTTATTTACAGCAGTGCTTTTTCACTATGGTGTGTTTTTTTGTGATACTTCTTCTAGATTATGATAAATATGCTGTGTGCATGTTTGTTTTATGGATCTGCATATTGAAATGTTTCATTACTACTAGGCATGTAAGTATTACCATGTTTTTTAAGCATGGTACCAATGTAATGACATTACGTAACAACTTATTTGTACCATGAAATTTCTGAAATACCCTGTAGTACCATGTAAATTCCAAGGTACATGAATATATATGACACATTATTTAGTACCATAGAAACACAGAAGTAGCTTTTAGTAAAGGATGCTACATCTAGATATGTGGGTCAGCTGAGCCGTGTTACCTCTAGATGCTGTCTTGCCCCCTGCACTTCACATTCATGTTTGTGTCTGACCACTTGCAGACAAAGTTCTCTATACACACCTACAGGAGGAGAATTAAAAGTTGACCTGAGACCTGTGGTTCATATGTAAGGGAGATAACATAAAGCAGATATGTGCGTACTGATATATGTCACCTGCCACTTGTGTCCTCTGCTGTAGGTTCTGCTGCAGTGTTGCCAAGGGTTCTCTGTACTCTCCCGCCTTTCTTGTCATAACCTCGTCCAGCTTCATTTTAACCTGGTTCAGACGTTCTTGAAAAAGCCTGAAATTGTAGAGGAAATCATCATCAATAGAGCTCTACAGAGAATTTGGTTCTTAGAAAAATATAATTAGTTTGAACAATACAATACAGAATATACTATTTTTATTGGTGGCCATCCACCACATATGATGGCCCTGTTCCTATTGGTCAAAAAAAATGAAATGCCACCTAGCCTAAACCAATTAGAAAGAAGTATTCGTACTTGTCTTTTAACTCCAGGAATTGTTTTTCCAGGTCAGACATTTCATCTAGGCACTGTAATCGTCTTCTCTCATAATCTTCATCATCCATTTCTAAAAAAGAGAAAACTCACTCTCATTCAATGTTGTTCAGCCATGCTGTTCATTCTCTTTTCCTATCAATTCTAGTCAGTCTTCACATTAATATACTACATTCTATGCATCACTATATGATCATTTTTGGCTATTTGGATGCTATTCAAAAGCAATATGCATTCAAGTTACAAGATTTGCGGGAATTTGTCAATTGACAATAGTCATGCAAAAAATTCAAAGAAAATTTCAAAAGTAAAACAAAAAGGCTTAAGTGTCTTTATGCAAAATATAACACAATATTATAACATATGTAATAATCATTTTTTTTGGTTGAGGGGGAGGGGGGTTAGGGGGAGGCAAACTATTACTCTCCCAACTTTGACAGCTGCTGCAACACAACTGCAGACAATTAGGAAGAAAACAATGAGAAAATTATGAAATATTCAATCAGCAGACCTGAGCTTTCTTCCTCTTCTTCCTCTTCCTCCTCTGGCTCACTCTCCTCCAGGTCGCTGTCCCGCTCCTCTCCACTCTCCTCCATTGTCTCCTCTGCATCTCCTCCCTCTCGCTCCTCCTCCACCTCACCGTTAGTTTGAGGAACCTCAGGGTCGGCCTCTGTCTCCATCTCCTCCTCTGGTTCTCTGGCAGCCGGCTGAGCTGGCATGACTGTTTATAGCACTGTATTGAACAGTATAATAACAGCGGTGAGATCTCATGGCGTCTGATGCAGTAAATAAAAATGTTAATTATAACAATTTTATAATATATGATTATATATATAATTTATATTTAATTAAATGTTAGAATAATACTGCATATTTTTCCATGTTTATATTTTCATATTTCTTATTCTTATTTACCTTATATCTTTCTAGGCTGTATGATTTCAAACATTGTAGCATAAAAAGAACCATATGTCAGTACCGGAAGATGTGAAAATGATGTGCATGCCATGTACTGACCAGTCTAAAGACCTTTAGAGGACACTAGCAGCTAAGAGCACAGTATCCTGAGACAGCAGCAGCTGTTTAAGACCCTATTAAGCACTTTATGTTTAATTAGAAAGAGGAAACCCCATGCACTCGTCTGATACAGTTCGTAGTATGATGAATTAGGAGCGCGTTCACAGACTCGACGTGTATCATGTACGTTACGTTACATCCTCCAAAGGCCGCACTGCACTGACTTACATTACAAGCTCATTACTCATTCTCCACATCTATAGCTCATACATTATATGCTGTGAGAGACATTAATAGTTACAGTCTCGTGCTGTTCACAAAGAATTGTGGATTTAGGTTAGTTATAAAAACTCGTTTTCCAACCGAACAACTCCACACGTCATTCAGAGACATAAAGTGTTCAGTATAACGCGGTACAGTAATGTTAATGCACTAGAGTGGAAAAAAAAACAAACGGTTGCGCCTTTAAAAAAAAACTAAATTACAACGTAGTAATGGATTAACTTAACGTTACTTTGGAACGTTGCATTGAATCTCTTTATCGCTCCATGAATGTTTGCAAATTAACCGATGCAAGAAACAGGATAACAATACACGACGATCTTACAAACTCTATTAAGTGCATAAACAACTAAACAGCTTACCTTCTTGTCGATTATTGTTTAAGTCATGAAAAATATTACATACTGTCGACTGAATTTGCATATCAGGGCAAGTTGACATCGGACAAATCTACTTCCTCAGCGTTTATACGTTTGTTGAAACAAACTTACCGTTGTGAGGCGCTAGCCAATCAATTCAAACCTCGCTACTTTTAAGAACCAATAGAAGCTCGATGGTGAAGAATCGTGGTCTCATCGATTTCAGTTCAGTGGTCAAACTGGCCAATAGCATTTGGCGCTGAAAACCCACGAACTTCCTACCAACTGACAAGGTTTCCCTAAAAAGACCGGCTTAAGATATTTCATAATGGACAGAAGAGAAACATATTTGAATAGAAATACAATGAAGATTTTTATTCAGTCAAGTAAAGAAAAGGAAACCGCAACACTAAAATGTAATTTAACATATTTTTATTAAAGTTGCATAAAAGTGTAACAAAATTGGGCAAAAACCAAGACAGTTTAGTATTGCTACAGAATACTTTTTTTTTTCTCCAAAAGGTATGACCTGGAGTACATTTTTCCTAAATTCATATTATTGTTCCTTTTAAATCCAATTGATTATTTCAATCCTCCCATGTCTCATTTACACAGAAAAGAGAAATCAACAGCACTACAAGGTGCGTATAATGATAAAAACTGATGATTCTATTTTATGTTAATAGTTAATGCATCTAAAAAAAATTGCTTGGTACATAGTCAACTTCCTTCCCTAGAAGAAAAAAAAAAAAAAGAAGAATCATTGAAAGTACAAGAACCTTTAATTTAATTCTAAAACTTCAAAAAGATTTCCACTTTTGCAGAGATTTTTTTCTTGCATGTTCCTCAAACATTATTAAATTAATTTGGTTGTCATAACAAATGTAACCTAAGGCAACATCTGAAAGTAGGGAGATTGACTCTCATGTAAAATGAAATGCAGAGCAGGTGAAATAAACACATACAATTAAAATGGGGGGCCAACGAAAAAAAAGAGTGAGCAGAGAAAGAGATAAAACAGTTGTGAGTCCAGGACAGTTGTCATTGTACCTTACTTCATATAGTGAACTCAAGTGAGCTCAGATGGGATGAGCAGGAGCATCAATGAATGATTAATATACGCAGATGCTAGTGATGTGTCAGCATGTTATGGGAAAAGCTCTTCTAAAACACCTGCTGGAAATGTTGGATTGGTGAATCTCAAGAGCACTGAGTGAGACTATTAGCCCTCTTATTATAGTATTTGATTGGCTGAGACAAAAAGAGCAGATGGCTTCCTGGGAAAGATGATTTAGGAGAGTCATGTGAGAGGATTAATTCTAAACGTACGTTTGCCAGTGACCGTGACACACTGCAGCTTGTCTAGCATGATCTCCAGTCCCTCCCTATCGGTCTCTGGAAGAGTCCGTGGATGTGTGAGGCCCAAAAGCCACTGCTGTGGTTGTGTGTGTGTGTGTGTGTGGTAATTTCTCCTGATCCCTGAGGGTGGTGCTGCCCATGAATTTCAGAGAGTGAGTGAGTGTGTGTTTGTGTGTGTGGCATGTGTAAGACGGGAAAATTAAAGAATCAAAGCCCAAATTTTTTTCCTACACACAGCTCCCTTTCCCTGTTAATACCACAAAGCCAAACTCCCTCGCTTTAAAATAGCTTTAAACACTCTATTATTTTTCATTTTTTTGTAATTAAAATGTCCATGAATGTTCCTGCACACTTATTCAAGGAAGACGAGACTAAAAAAAATAAATTAAAATTAAATTAAATTTAAAAAAAAAAAGAAAAAGAAAAAATTAATCCACAAAGCCTCTTCTGTCTAATCCCCTCTGATGTCATTTTAAACCAAGTATCGTCACAGTTTCACAAAGGGTTTTAGTCCATGTGTTCATTGAGACAGGGATCTTTGAAACCTTTGAAATTAAAACTAAATTACCAAATTCAAATCTAAAGAATATAATGCACAGTAATGTATACCAACATGAAATACATTTAAAAACAATGAAATCTTTCCCCCTTTACAAAAAAAGTGAAATAGAATAAAATAATACAAATAAAATCAACATAATGAGAAAACAAGCCCTGCTTATAAGGATCTGATTGAATCTCCCATAATTTTGCCTCCACCTCCTCCCCAATGGATGCAAAAGAGGCAATGGGACTGGATGAGCACCTGCTCAGGGGTGAATAGTCACACCCTTAAAATTGTAAAAGGAGGGATGAGATTGGTTGAAGAAGGGTGGAGGTGAGAGAAGCTTCATTTCTTCTGAGGAGTACTGAGCTTCTGCATGCCACGGATCCTGTTCAGCAACTCAGCTACAAACTCCTACAGCGGGAAAAAAATGGAGTATGATTTTTAACAAATTAGCAGAGAGGGGGGTAGTTAGCACTTCAGATTCTGCAGATTTCCACATAATTATAACAGGCATAAGTCCTAAAACTGTACACTCATTACTAACAGAATTATACGGGGCTGTTGAATGCTTGGAATCTGACTGGTTGACGAACATTCTAAGGTAAGCAATTGTTTTCAGGGAAGCTCACAGCTAAAGCAGTTCCAGGCAGTGGTAACCGTAGAATAAGCAGAATAATTGATGAAGGGCCGTTGAATTATTAGAAAGTAGGGATGCACCGATACCACTTTTTCCAGTACTCGCCCGATACCGATACTTTTATTTTTGGTACTTGCCGATACCGAGTATTTTTATTGCATTTGTACATTTTTTAAATATTGGGTACAGAAACCAAAAGAGTATGTATAATGTTAGTTGGTT